CATAGTATAGTACAGTACTAAACAAGTGAGTGATATATTGGTGGAAATAAGTGCACTCACAAACAAAATTGGAATCAGGCTTCTCACCCTCCCAGGGGTAGCAATCTTATAGAAAGACGATCCTCCGTGGAATATATAAAAGAATAAAAGAACAAATATGGTGAAGTATGTAATAAAATACAAAATAAAATTTATTGGTCTCACTTACAAGTGAAGAGAAATAACAAGCATATCTCCATATAACATGGAACTCCCAGGAACAGTGTGGAAGATAATCCAATGGAAATCCAATGGTAGCAAAATAAAATGAAATAAAAAACAAACTACATACAAAATATAAAATAATATAGCCGCATATTTTAAATATGAAAGTTCTGATCCAACGCGTTTCGTCCAAGAAAAGGGGACTTCCTCAGGGATATAAATGTGCTGATACTTCCAGGTATATATAGGGCAACATTCGCAATCATCGTTAATTCGAAAAAGCCGGGTATCCAACATCCGGCTTTGGCGTGCGTTTCATCCGTGGCACGCATGAGACCGGATGTAGTCCTTGCGTTCCGGAAGTATTCTCATTTCCGGTAGTATGAGACGCATATGCGTAGTTCACACACACGCGCATAACAAAAGCGTGTGTGTGTCATAGACGCACATGTGCGGCTGGCACTATCGGAACCTGTAGAGGACAAAAAGTAGGAAAAAACGGAGGGATAATCCGCCCGAAATACTCAGAAAAAAGGACCAAAGATATTATACAGACATTTACTCAAAAAATAATAATAATAAATAATCAATAATAAAAACTACATAATAGCATAGAAAATATGTATAAGAATATATATATATAAAAAGCCCAAATCCTAATATACTATTTAATCAATGAATAAATAAAAGACATTTGCCAAAAACACACAAAACCTCAAGAATTTTGAAATAAGAGGAAATACATATTACTCCATCTAAAGATATATCAATTAAAATGATCTAAATCAAATTAGACCTTGTAGATCAATTTCCTGGTTAAGACCTTGATGTAAGGTTTTTAAATTAAAAATCCAAAACGCTTCTTTTTTAACTAACTCTTGTAATTTATCTCCTCCCCTCCAACCCAAATTAATGGAGTCTATACCAAAAGCTTGAAAGGTGTTCCATTTGAATAACGGACATGTATTGCAATGTCTAGGGACACTATGATCAACTTTCCCTTTCTTTATATTATTAAAGTGCTCCAAAATTCTAATATGTAATTTTCTGGAAGTCCGGCCCACGTATTGAGCTCCACAACCACATTGTAGTAAATAGACCACAAAAGAAGAGGAACAGTGAATATGTTTCTTAATACTATAGGTTTTTTCAGTGTATGTACTTGTAAAATTGACAATTTTCTTTTTTTGGTATTTACAAGTGGAACAATGTCCACAACTGAAAAAACCTAGTATTGGAGTTTTTAATACATTATTATAAGAAGGAGTAGATGGTAGCAAACTGGGTGCCAATTTATTTTTTAAATTGGCTGATTTTTTATAAATTACTGTAGGAAAATCAGGTAACAAATGTTTTAAAACATCATCTCTTTTCAAAATGTACCAGTGTTTTTTAAGTATCTGTTCTATCTTTTTGGCCTGAGAATTATACTGCGTCAAAAAGGCAAATTCAAATTTATTGTTGGAATTATGTCTATTATTCTTTCTTTTTTTGGTATTAAATCGAATCAATTCACCGTTCCCTTCAATTTGTTCTCTATCACCAAGTAAGAGGGTTCTGTCCGAGGAAAAAATCTCTATTTCCGCTTTTTCAATTTTATTAAGACTATAACCCTTATCTACATATCTTTGTTTTATAATTGCTGATTGTTCTAAAAATACCTCCTTATCGGAGCAGTTTCTTCTAAGACGTGTTAACTGGCTCTTTGGAATATTTGAAAGCCAGGGAGGATAGTGAGCACTAGAACATTCAATAGCTGTATTGCAATCTGTGGGTTTGAAGTATGTTTTGGTCTTTAATTGATTGGATTCTATATATATTGTTAGATCCACAAAATTTACAGAGACAGCGCTCGATGTAAAGGTAAATCGCAAATTATAATCATTATTATTAATATGCTCCATAAAAGAGTTAAAGCTTTCCACAGTGCTGTCCCAGATGATCAATACATCATCTATGTAGCGTCGCCATAGGACCAAAGTACCCCCAGTATACTCGCCCAATCCGACGTATCGTTGTTCCCAATGAGATACGTACAGATTGGCGAAACTGGGGGCAAATTTAGTACCCATGGCGACGCGACATAGCTGAAGAAAATACTGGTTGTTGAACCAGAAAAAGTTCTTTGTTAGAATGAACTGAATGCAATTAATCAAAAATTCAATCTGGATATCAAGTAAAGATTGTTGGGATTTTAGCATTTCTTTAATGCACATAATACCTTTAATATGAGGAATATTAGAATAAAGAGCAGTAATATCCGCAGTAGCCAAAATATATGAGGGTTTCCAACATATAGACTGTAAATCCTGTAAAATGTGCTTTGTATCTTTAATAAAAGTGTGGTTTAAAGGAACATATGGTTGTAAAAATAAATCCACATATTCGGACAAATTGCAAGACAGTGAATTGATTCCACTAATAATAGGACGGCCTGGAGGTGTTTTTATGTTCTTATGTATCTTCGGCAGGAAATAAAAAACTGCTACTTTACAATTGGGATTATAGATGTAATTAAATTCGTCCCGATTGATTGTTTTTTGTTCTAAACCTAAAGTTAATAAGCTATTTAGTTCCAGCAAAAACTCAGATGTCGGATTTTTATCTAAAATTCTATACGTATTTGAATCATTGAGGATATGGTAAGCCTCTTGTAAATAATAGGATTTATTCATGATGACAATTCCACCTCCTTTATCCGCCTCCTTAATGACTAAATTAGGATTTTCCATCAAAGATTTTAAAGCTGAACGTTCTTTTTTAGTAAGATTAGGTTTGAATCTACTGTCTACAATTTTGTTTAAATCTTCTTGCACTAAATCATTAAATACCTCAAGGAATTTGCTTTTTGCTGTCCACGGAAAAAAATTAGATTTAGGTTTCAAAGCGGTGTGTATAATAAATAGTATGTGGGGGATCACCTAAGTGTTGCTCATGTTCAACGTCTTTTTTATTTAATTCCTTATTTCCAAAAAATCTTTTTAAAGTTAATTTTCTTAAGAATTTCTGATTATCCAAATATAAATTAAAAGAATTGCAATTTGAAGCAGGGGCGAACTTTAAACCCTTTTTTAACAATGATAATTCTTGTGACGAAAGGGGGGTATTGGATAAATTAAAAATACCCTCTGTAGAATCTAATTTTGTCTGTACGAGAGGTGCAGTGAAACATCTTCCTCCTCCACCTCTAGATGCGGTCGTTTTTTTATGGGTGATTTTTGTGCTTGGGACCTGTGCTGAGTATATGTTTGATAATGTTTGCTTTTGGTCTCGCTCCTTGTCTAAAAAAACCTCCTGGTTACTTTTTGAATATCGAAATAATTTGGGTGATTGTCTAGAAACTGGCGAATGTACATTGGAATGATGTATAGTATTTGGCATATTCCTAGAAAATAGGTTGGAAGAACTTGAATGAAACTTTAAGTTTAAATTAGGTTTGGAACCAGAGAAACGTCCATTGGATTATCTTCCACACTGTTCCTGGGAGTTCCATGTTATATGGAGATATGCTTGTTATTTCTCTTCACTTGTAAGTGAGACCAATAAATTTTATTTTGTATTTTATTACATACTTCACCATATTTGTTCTTTTATTCTTTTATATATTCCACGGAGGATCGTCTTTCTATAAGATTGCTACCCCTGGGAGGGTGAGAAGCCTGATTCCAATTTTGTTTGTGAGTGCACTTATTTCCACCAATATATCACTCACTTGTTTAGTACTGTACTATACTATGTCAGTCTTTTATTTTTCATACAGATTTCGTTTATAAAATACGACCTATATTTCAGGTTATTTATATTTTTTCTTATACTATCACGTATTTGGGAGGTGTTTTCCACTTGGTTTTTGAATTATAGTGAGATTGTATTTGGAATTATCACTTCAAGATGTCAATGTTTCAGTGGGGACTTGGGCATCACAATTTTCAAACTTTCAGTAAAATTTGCAGAAAAATAAAATATTTGTTTCATGCTGCAATTCAGCCCAAATTTGAGCCAATCGAGTATTCAACCAAATTCTAGTACTACTAGCTAAAATGTATCTGAATTACGTTATCACCAAAGACGTACAATGTAGATTATGTTTGGTTTGGCTTATGATTCTGAATTTCACCCATGTCACCAAAAAGAACAAATGATTGATGTGAGAAAAAATGAGTGATGACTAGAGACTGGCACTAAAGGTTGATGTCACTCACAGATCAAGAAAGAATTGAGAAAAAAAAGGGAATATGAAGAACCGTTAAAAAATAAATAAAGCTAGGTTTATGTACTAAATATATTTAATAAATATACAATACATACATATATAAACACAGTTTTTCTTCTTTCTTTTACTGTATACCCTGTTTTCCCTCTACTGGTTATATTTCCTGATTTGAACAGTTAACCTAATGGAGTGTGTATTATGTGTATGTTTTGCAGCACAGTAATTGGCCTATATTCAGCACTTTTTTGTTTCTTCTGAGTGGGTTCTTAAATTGGAATCTCGATTCCAAAATTTCGATGAGGAAAACAGATATTTGACCAAAAAAACTATGATGCTGACAGCATGTAAAATTAGTTAGTCGCTGATTTGTTGAGAAGCTGCCGATGTGTATGAAACATGACTATGATGATTCTGTATGTCTTAGGTAAGTTATTGTGACAGACCACCCTGTCACTTATTAGACTTTTCATTTCGTTTTATCACTAGTCATTCGGTTACCAAACAAAGACTGTTTTCCCCTTTTATACCTCCCACACCCAGACCACCCCTTGCTCATTAACCAAAATAGAACCCATTAACTCAAGTGCTCTTCTGGGTGGCCGCCATTCGTATGAACGAATGCATGTGTTATGTGGAATGGTGGTCATTTTGTCTTGCGAATGCAGGCAACGATACTCAGACGTTGAATGCCTGTAACTGAAATCAGACACGCTATCTCACAAACACTGCTGAACTTGAACTGGCACCTACTTCTTCCCCAAATAGGTCAGGAGAGTGCTTTTTGGGAAAAGGACTTATATGAACATGAGGAACATTCGCTCACTAGGGGCAAGCATTTGGTTTTATACGCACAGGAACTCCCGAATGGAGACCGGCCACAGCCTATTTCATCATGGAACTGTTTTGGGCTACAACCTCTTGGCCTGCTGCTCAAAACTTTACCCGGATGGTGATTCTGTTTCACCAAACTTATCTGAGCGGTATTTGGACAACCTGGGCACTCAGATCTGGGCTATCTGGGGATTTAAGACTTGAGGGCTTCCTGTTGAAATTCAGTGTGGTTTTCTGGTATTTTCTACATGGGTCCCTGTAACTGAGAGATAATTAAGTTACTGGACTTTGACTCAATTATCTCCCAGACACAGGGATGCCTCGGAGGGGTTTGTATTTCATTGTATGGAGACCCCATGCTGGGGATCTGTGTATAAATTAAGTGTTCCTTGCCCTGAATAAACCAGTCTACTCCCAGCATTAAGTCTCAGCTAATGTCTGGTGGGAAAAGCTACATCACTCTACCACTGAAGACGGTGCTGACTGAGATCCTGGTAAAGGGAAAGGACATCCTAGGTTGCGAGACTTGTGTCCCTATCTGAGTGGCTGCCACAGTTAGATATTTTAAATGTAATTTTAATTTAAAATATTACTCTAAACAAATTGAAAATAACATTTTGGCATAATACAGTTTGAAAATAATCTATGGGGATGCATTGACTCATTCTGATTAAAAAGACAGCTCAAATAATATGTCAGAATTAGAGAGGAATTCTCAAACCAATATCTTCCTTTGTTGTCAGGGTTAATAACAATGAGATTGTCTTTCTTGAGCACTAAACCATTTCTAATAGTTTGTAAAGTGTGTGTTAGCCTAATCCTGTTTGAGTCAATATTTCTGTAGTTTCAGTCTCTAAATAACTCAGATTGTAATGTGATTTTATAGGTAGAATGAACATAATAAGAGGGATTAGATTGTAAAAAGTTTTTAATGTAACAATTAAGTTTATTTTATTCATATATAGCAAATTATGATCACTTAAAATAATATATTATGATTAAAGATAATCCACCATCAGTGTATATATAGGTTCTCCCATCTTCATGATGACTGACGCTCTTTGTATCCAGGTTTGTCTGCCACTTCATACAGAGGATCGTCTATCTCATTGTAAACATTCAAATTTACATTTTCAGTTTTACTTAGATCAAGTACACATTGATGCAAGAAGATATACTGCTCCTAAAACACAAAATAAATGATTAGTGGAGGTCCCTATGCATTTATCTTACAGCCTTATCTTAATTACACAAACAGTACTGCACTTCAAAATGTGTACATACATTTTTGTATTATAAAATACTGCTTTAATATTGGACTAGAAGAGTCCTTCCTGTCCTCCACAGGTGTCTCAGGTGTTCCTTTGAGGTACAAATATTTGTGCCTTTCATATAATGTATTATTTATAATGTATTTCTTTACAATTTATTTGTGTATCTTTGTTTTTTTTATCATTATAAGTTTGCAATTCATGCTTAATGATTTCTTAAATATAATGCTAGTAATCTAAGCACCTATATTACTAAATGAATTATGTTATATATCTTGTGATGAAATATGCACTTTAACTTTGAATACTTAAAAATTTTAAATAAAAAAAAAGAAATGTGTACATAAACATTTTAATCTACACACTTAATTCAAATTTGTGTGTTCACATCTATCCTAGGTAAAATAAACCATTTGCACCTCAATGGAATCCACTGATATAAACCAGAACCTCCTAATCCAGCTCTAGGTGCAAACAAATAAGCGAGGGAATAGCCCATAACAGATCCGTTCTTCACTTTGGATGTTGGAATATTGGGAAGAGCCTTGTTTGGATTTTCATTATCTTAATCAAAACTTATATCGTAAACACTACCATGACAATGCCAAAGGTAGCAATCAGAAGTATTTATAAACAACACAAATAACAGTATATTCTTCTATCACATTAAATAATAGTGCTATTTTATATTTGTATTATATACTTAATCAAATTATAATTTCAGAAGATTCTCTAAATGCATGAAGCTGAATAAAATGTTTACCAACCTCGGTTTTCACCATATGTGGCCGATGGGTATGCATGTCGTACACAGTGTTATATAAGTCCACAGTTTTTCCTTCCTCAATTTGTTGTATAATCTGATCTAGCACAATGAAAACACCAGTCCTTCCAGAACTTAAGACAGAAAAAAATGCCTTGTGATAATTATACTATACTTTTATATAACAATATATATTCTGACATTTTTTGTTACAGTAATAATATTCCTATCAATCCTGATGACACATTCTTCCCAAGCACAAAGCGATTTTAACCCATTATGGACACATGACATGTGTGACATGTCATGATTATCTTTTATTCCAGAAGTTTGGTCCTTAAGATGTTAAGGAAGGTGGTCATTTTTTTTTCATGAACAGACATTACAGAAAATGTTGGTACATAGAGTCATCACTATAATATTTAATATAAATTACAAATAGGGAACAATAATGCCTGGGTTGTTCTATTGTGGTACCTGCAGTGCACCAATGTAGGGGTCGCCACTGGGGTTTGCTTTCGACGCTTTCGGACCTCTTGCACAAAGGATGTGAAACTTTTTCTTGTTTGTTCATCATTAAACCCAGACCATGCTGTAAACTGAAACTGCTGCAGTTGCCGACTTTTATTTTCTTTTTTCTGAGTAAAAATAAATAAATAAATTCAGACATACATATACCGGAATGAAAACGTTATAGCCGTTTTGTTTACTGCTAAAGAAAGAAAGCTTTACATTGAGTAATACAGATCTTCAATAGTCTTTTCTTTTTGTTATTTTTTATATACATACAAATATATCTATACATTGATATAGACATATCTGTGTTATAGGCAAAAAAAGGAAAGGGTAATAAGCGCTCACTATAGTGAATTGTGAACAGGCAGCAGATTACAAAACAAGGATTCCCAAAACCTTGTGGATAGATAAAGAGAACGAAAAAGAAGGTGTATAGCGCGCGGTATACGCCTTCTTTTTCATATCTGTGTTACAGTTTCTATTACTTTCAAGTGACAGACGTATACTTTTTATCAAGATGTGATAAAATCCCCAATAGAAGGACTCAAGTATTGCTGACACATTTGTATGAATGTTTGTGTGTAAGTAATAAATAGCAGACTAGTACTAATGTATATACTAATACTGTCAATAAAGTACTATGAGTGCTCTCTTATATGTTTTGGTCTTAACTTTGTAAAAAAGATTATGGATACCGCACTCTCCAGGCTTCCAGGGGTCTCAAGACCTGAGTACGACCAGGTCTCTCTTCCAGATTTAGAAAATAAGTATTGCTCCAAGCTTGACAAAGACCCTGCTAGGTCAAAACCTTGCTGTTGTTTTTCTCTAAATAAAGCTGGTATTTTGGCTTTTATCCTTGAGTGTCCGCATCAATATTTATTTTGTGCTCTTAATTTTGTTCAGAGATATGTGTATGTTTTACAATATGAAATTTGTGTTATAGGCAAATAATAACATCAATCGATTCTGTAGAAATCATAATCCATGAAAGTTGGAGATATTATTACTTCCACTTTATATATTACTTATATATTACTAAATCATCAAATTTGAAATCTAATAGCTTTCTCCTGCAGATATAGAAACTAGATAGCATTTGATCCCATTTTAGATTACATTTTGGCTCCTTTCACTTGGATGGTTTAAAAATATTTTTTTAAAACACATTTTATTTTGATGGTGATATTTCTTAAGTGGAAATTCTGTGTGTTAAGGATTTGTTCTTAAAATCTTAGATCACAGGAAATCTTAATACTTAGAAGACTAGTAGACATGAGCCTTCACATTAAAAATCTAGAGAATTCAGCTTGGACTAATACGCTAAAGACAGAGAATGGTCAAAGGGAAAGCTGAGGTCAAGGAAGCCAGAAAAAACACAATACCATTTACACAAGCCAAGTCAGGGAAACCAGAATTCAGAATAACCAGGGAAAAGCCAAGATCAGGATACCAGGAAATCAGATTCAGAAAGATAAAGCACTCTCAGGAAACCAGGAACAGGAATCCACGACAGGGCAAGGTACTGGGGTGAGCTAGGGATTTAAATATCCCTCTCTAAGGTCTGATTGGTCAGAGGGCGACCTCTGACCCCAAAACGTGCGTCCGCGTTGACGTTGTGACGTCACACGCACGTCAGTATAAACTTCCGGGGTGGAGCTATGTTTAGGTGCGACCACGCAGTCAGCGCCATTTTGGATCCGGGCGCGAGGGCCGGAGGATGCAGGGAAGCGTCTGTTGGCTCGCCGATGAGCAGGTAAGCTCGTGCTGTCGGCGAGGCTGTGCCGGTTGGGCACAGCCTTGCCACGCGGCGGGCCGGCAACCGCGACAGGTCTTCACAATTCTCCCTGTGGATCATTACATCCCGGACCTGGTATTCAGCTTCAGCGATACCTCCCTCGTGGGTTCCAGCTCCACCTCTCGGTGTGAGGTCGGAGGCAGAGGATACAGGGACTCACACGCCGTCCTCACTGGCTGTAAGGAGGGTGAAGAGAAGGACTTCATCTCTCACAATCCTAATCCATCCAGGTCTGGATCACAGGTTCTATATCTTTGTACATCTAAGACTTAATAGACTGTACTCCTACCTCAGTATTTCACCGTTATTTTTTACATATTGGAATTTTTCATTTTTATTACACAATAAACTTTGTTTTGTTTTTATCTGTTTTTTTAGTGGACATTGATTACTGTTTGGTTCTGGCATTTAGTTTATCTATACTAAATTGCCATATATTTTTTTTATTTTTTTGGATTTTCCTATTTTTTCCTATTTTAAGTAGAATAAACTCATAGGTGCTTGATTCACCCGACATTGTTATTACAGGCCGAGTCATATCTACTTATGATACAATAGTAACACAACGACTTGTTACAGATTCTGGACAGTCACTTTTTTGCAACATAATAAGGACTATCAGATGGGAATTTATTATTATTACTGAATGTTCAATTGTAATCCCATTGTGAAATACAAACTCTACTTTCAACTAGTTTATATTACATTTTACGATTCTGTTTTTTAGATCATAATATTGTGATTATTTTTAGTGTATTTCATATCAGTATTAGATTTCATTTCTTGCTCTGGGAATTCACACTTTAGGGTGTTCTTAGTTTATTTTAACTCTTTCAGGACTTGGTGAAATCCTATTTTTTCCGGGTAGAGAATATCCATTTTACTGTTTTTATTCCCTCTCACAAAATCTGTCGCTTTCCTTTGGTAGCTTCAGAATTTTTTGTTTAATATAAATATTATGTATATATTTTGTAGGAAACTGATAGAAGCATTTTTCCACCATTTGTGTCACAGATTAT